ATTCGAGTCTTGTCCGAGACTGAAGTTTTGTCCATAAATCGCCAACCTTGTGAGACTTTCGGAACGCGTACTGTGGCCATATAACAGCAGTTTACAAGTCACAAGTCAAAACAAGTTGCTTTGTTATACTTTTGTTTGGTCCAGTTTAGGCATGACGGCTTTTCTAAGGGATATTTGAATGCTCTTTATGAAACCCTCCCACGAAATGGTAATATATGGTTTTCCTCCAGTTCACAGCCGACGCCATCCAAAACCAGCAAAGATCTTGCTTCTGACGGTGCAGCAGCATCCAATGACCCACCTGCTTCTCCGAAGAAATCGCCCCACAGGTACTGCTTTTTCTGTTCTACTGTCTTGTTTAAATTATAATGTTCTCAGCTAGTAATACCTACTTTAAGCATTTCGTTCGTCGCAGCTAATGGAAATAACAGCACACCCACTCGAAACAACTCGGCTTTGAGGCCTTCTTCAGCACGAGCAACGCATAGGTTTTGGTTTACATATTATCTCTCCTTTCCTTTGTTCCCGTGCTCTACATATAATTGAAGTGAATCGACTTCTTCGACATCAATAGCCAATGTTTGCACGAATTCACGTATCGTTTGACCATTCAGCGCCCGAAGTGTGCGTTTCGGAAGTGAATCTCTCAACGCTGTCCATATAATTCCATCCGTTGCTACCACTTTGCCATTTGCTGAGCAGATGGCAAAAGAACGGGAGGCTGAGGCATTGGAAGCATCACTCCATCAACCACCGAACGAAAGGTCTGTAACGTTGACTTCCTGTAATTTATATGTTAGGTTTTTGCTGGTGCTTGTAAGAATTTGTCAACTAGAGTTTGCGCGCTCTGAAAACTGGAATTTAAAACTTCGTATTGCTAAATACCTGCTTTCTTCGGGTATATAGCAGTGCAAAGTGTTTGTGAAAGTTCGGACGTATTTGGGTAAATGTTACCATTGCGATAATTTTTATGATCTGCTGATAGGAAATATATTCACCATTGCTGTTTATGATAGTGACAATGAATATATTTCGAACACAGCCTGAGGATGTCTCCACTGTCGGGCCTCTCCTTTTCACAACTTGTCACTAAAAATTTTCAAGAGATGCGGTAAAAACCCATAGCCATTTTCAGTCCCTGATAGCACGCTCATTCCCTGAATGAGTGTGAAGAGTACAAATTCGGAAAATGGCTCACTAAGTGCACTTCCTATGAGTTTTGTCCATAAAGTAGTGCTCATCACTAACATTCCAATTTCGTAAGAACGCGTAGCACGGCTAAAGAGAAACTTGGTTCTATGAATTTGTTCAGTAATCCAGTTCGACCATTTTCACGTTTTTAACGATTTCTTTCTTGAACAAAGCTCGAACCATGTATCCCCAAAGTGTTAAGGCTCTGAGTTTTTCTTATGACATTGCAGCACACAAAAATTCCTTTTATGTCAGCTTGTGGACGATTTTTTTTGTTGTTTCTTTGCAGTAAGG